AAAGTAAAAGAAAAATCTACAAAGAGCACGGGAAATCCAAGGAAAAGCAGTGGTAACAGGTCAGGCCACACTTAATTCATTCGTGATTTATATGAGTCGCTTTCGGGGACTTAAAATGTGGTTACAGCTTTTGGCTTTGGCTCGGATCTCTGGCTTTTCCCTTGGATTTTGGCTAAAACTGACGAAACTATGTGTGTGGTCTGCTTTGGGCAAAAGATTTGCCTGTGCTCAATTAAAAATTCCCCTTGAGCTGCTCAAAATTCAATTGGAATTCCCCTTTCGCCCTCGACCTCATACTATGCAAAAAATCATTCCCTGATTTTCTCAACAAAGTCGAAAGCCAGCAAAACCGCTGATAAAATACATATATATATATGTATGTATATTTCCCTGGCCAGAGAGACTTTTGGCTAAGCCTGTGAAAACAAGTTTTTTGGCTAGCTGCCGCCGTTCGGCATTTTGTCACTTTGACAAAATTGTTTGGTAGTTTTCTCGCCAGATTCGGCTTCAGATCCTAACTCCCCCTATTTTCCCCCTTTTCACGATCCCAACTTGTCGTTCAAGTGACATTCAATTATTATTTCAGCCAGGCAGTGCACAAACTTTCCAACGAAACCGAACCAAACGAAACGAAACGAGTTGCTGCGACAAACGACAATATTGTTAGAATGTATTACAGTCAGACAAATATATACATTATATAAAGGGGCTACATGGCCCATAATACGTATTTGCGCATTAAATTCAAAACTTTTCAAATAGTTTTGTGCCAAATAAAATCAAAACAAAATCTACAAGAAAATAAAAACATAAGTATGTAAGGCTGTGTGCGTATATAATAAAATGAAAACTTTTAAATTACATTTTCAATGAGAAACGCTGAGACACTGAGTCTCAGTCTCCATTATACGGCTTAGACGGGCATTTTAACTGATTAAAACAAAATTGAGGGCGTTTTCTTTTTGGTAAAGTTTTACAGCAGCCAAGATATTCAGTACCTGCAGTCGTCGACCAGGATTTTCTTATAGTTTTAGGGGGCACTTTACAGCCAGAAATGTCGATAAGAAGCAACAGCATCGTCGTCAGTGTCTTACTGAATAAATGTTGATAAAAGACAGTGAGATGGTCTCCAGTGTCTTATTTTACCAAATAAATGTCAGGCGAAGATAGTCTTCTTATTCTAAGCAACAGTGATTTCTAAAATAAAGATTTATTTTGAAAAGCCATCAAATCCCTAGATATTCAGCTTTGGTCTTTCCTCAAATAGACAAATTTAAATACTAATAAATTGATATATACAGAAATTAATTATTTCTGTTAAATCAACAAGGTCAACTAAATTTAAACCAGGTCATATAGTTACAAACTCTGTTTAATCCACATAAAATACAAGCTTGTAACAATAATAAACATGTCACACTCGTGTAAAAACCTTAATTCCTGTACTCGGTATGCACAAAAATCACAGAATCGCTGAAAAGTTTGCGCCCGATTTTCGCAAACAATTTTCCCCCGGCGGAGCTTAGGTAAATTCCGAGCTGTGCAAATGCAAATGCGAGTGGGAGTTTCTTATTTTTTCACCGGATAACTCGTAATTTGAACTCGAGGCTGCCGCCCAAAAAGCGTGCAGCTTAAAATTAATGACAGCGACGTAAATGTCAACGCAGGATGAAAAACAAGCGCAACTTTTAGCCAGCCGCAACGTGTGGCAAAAACAATAATAAAGCCGAGTTTTCCAAAAGGGGGGTTGCAGAAGGTCTAGAAATGCTTGGTTGAAACGGGGGGCTGCAACCGAGCGATGCATGGCTTCCGGTTTTTGTTCGCGCTCTGGTATTCGCTGCCACGCCCAGTTCCTGGCGCCGCCCCTTTAGGCCAACTCCTTGCCAACGGCATTGCGTGCTCGAGTGTCACATATGCACATTTTATTTATAAACTTGCAGCAAAGTGGAAAATAAAAAACAGCGAACGACTCCGCGGAATGCAATGCCACCTCAACGGGCAGTTCCTTTTTGCTGCGTTTTATTTTCGTCCCTTTTTTTTGTATATAAAAAGGAGTAACTTTTTACTCCTTGCATGCCCATGCCCGACGATAAAGTCCGTGAAATGCTTATCATGCTCAAACCGGATGTGCACAGTGTCAAGCGGCAGGAGCAAAGCGTTTTTATATCCCGCGACAGTTTAATGCATAATTGAAAAGCACGCAAAGTGAAACAATAGACCAAGCTCCATGGCTTCAGCTGCTCGACTCGAAGGCCATTTAACCCATTGCCGACTATTGGGCGATGTAAGGCACCCTCGAGTACACGGCACTTAAAATATTTCCTCTACACAAGTGCTCTTAAAATTCCTGGAAGCAGAATAAACATTTTGGGCTGGCGAGCAAAACTTATATTTGCACAAAACGCTTTTGATAAGGTAAATGGAGAGATGAGGAAGGGCCTTTAATAGCTCTCACATATGAGGTTTAATTTTGTGAAATGTTATCTCTGTTTTATCCAAGGGCAGGTGTGTAACTGCAATTAAGGCTTGCCAAAAACTTTTCTGTTTACCAACTATTATGAGGTTCTATATGCTTTTGTCAGTTTCATTCAGGTTTGACTTTGTTATAGTTAATTTTTGGAAATTTGTAGAGCTATCTGATATGAGTAAAAATATTTAAGTCATGCAATTGTGTTTTTGGCACTGATATAAATAATTAAATCGATAAATTTAATACCTTCATATTGAAATCAAAATTTCGTTTCAAATGCTATAATAAAATTGGATTTATTTGAATCAATGTAGAAAATATTAGATGCAGTTTAAGACCAATTTACTTTAAAAAGCGATCAAGAATTGCATATAAAGATACAGTTTAATATCTTTCAGATATCCTTATTTATTAAAATGGAAAATATATAAATTGACTAAGAAGTAAATCAATTTATATCGTTTTAAATATTTTCATTTTTAATCAAATTTTTGGCAGCTAGATTTAAATAAACAATTTCCTTTCATTTATCACCAAACTCATAATGACATTAGCACTTGTCCCAAAAAACTTTCGTTTTGCTACGAAGGCAGCTTAGGGCGGTTTAAAACATCTTAGTACTAATTGAATTTTCTGCCTTGCTGGCAGCTTTCTAATGGCTTCTCATTGGGCATGTAAAACACAAATTAATGGCAATCAACATTTCTGCCCATTCGCACTTGTTTGCACTTGATAATGGAAATTATTTAATATTTACGGGCTCAATTGGGCACGAAACAATCGCGCTAATGAACTGTGTAATTTCATTTGGTCGGCCGAAAGAAAGTCCCATCGAGTGAAAAGTGAAATGGCAGAGGGGAAAAGCAGGGGGGCGGCAATTGCGGTGGTAATTGAATGGCGCTTATCGAAACCAAATCGCAGCTTTATGTCGCTCTTTTAGAGGCACTTGGAAAGTGCGGAGAACAAGTGGCTGTCAGCCGCCATCCGGCATAAACTGCACAAACAAAGCGCGTTTAAGAAAATGTAAAAATACTGCCAAAGTATGCAAAGCTGCTCGTAAAAACACTCGAAACTACGTGCATGCAGCTCAGAGAGTCCTGCCAACCTCGTCCTTCGTCCTTCTGCGGTGGTGGGAATTTTGTGTGGAACTTGGAACTCGGCAGTTGCTTAGCTGCATCCTTCCATGACCGGTTTCCTTCCTGAAAATCCATCAGCGCTAATTTTGCATATTTCAGTTAGTATTTTCTTTTTTCCTTTGGCTCGGCCTGCCAACCAGCAACTCCTTTCATCTCAGTGCACTTTATTCGCCTTTGTTTGGCTAAGCCGGCTTGTGACTTGTGTTTTCCCAGCCTCGAGAGGCCCGAGGATATTTAAGTTATGCAGCGTCTGGAGAAAGGTCCTCGGGAACTGGGTAGATGGGTATCTGGGTATCTGGGTATCTCGGTATCCTGATGATGAATTATGTGCGCCACGTACGTTATTAATAATTCCTGTGCCTGTCAACAAATACATTGTCTTGTGCCGCAATGTCTGCCTCCCACGCCGGCTCACATTGCGTATGCGTGATATGTTTGTATGAGGGGGTTCCACAACTAGGCATCATCTAAATTTATTGGCCATCTTGTTGTGCAGCAACCGAATTCAAATTGAGGGTCCCTCGACGAGGGATACACCCCATCACGCATACGCCGTGTATTACAGCACAGCTCAACCCCTTTCGCTCATCACGCATACGCCGTGTATTACATCATGGCAACTGTTGTTTGCACAATGTACTGTAGTCCAGAGTGACGCTCGAGTGGCAAACTTAATGGCTGGAAAAATTCAACTCAATCAATTACCAGGACAACACACTCGGCCAGCCGAACATGTGTAATTGATACGAGTCCTTAAAGGTGTTTTGTGTTATTTATGCAGGTGCTCCTTTGCCCAGCATCGCGTGCAAGCACTTTTGGGCCTGAAGTGGGTGCGATGTGTTAACAGGGCCACTTCATTTCGGCAATTAAACGGTTACATTGTGCTGCTTCTCAGTTCTCTGGGGGAAATTAAGGGCCAGCATTCGTCAGATAAATCAACTGGCAAATCAATTTGTAATGGCCTCACAATGCTTTGGGATAAAATCATCTAATTATTCGGTGGACGGCAGTTTAATGATTAAATATTTCATACGCTCCGACTGACACCGGGTTTGTCCAGGCGAAAATCACAAATGTCTGGCCATTTCCCCTGGCTCATTTGGGCCAAGACCAAACACTGCAGCATTAATTAAATATTTATGCACCATACACGAACAAACAAACAAACAGACAGCATACAAGGCATACACTTATGCGAGGCCAAACAGAGCGCAACAAATAAAGACGGTCAATTCTGTTACGCCACGCTGACTCAAGGAGTAACAAGGATATTCAGATACATAGATATATGTATATTTGTATACTTGAACTCGTACACATCCCCACACATTCACTTGCTTTTATTTACCGCTTTAACATGTAAGCTCAAGACAATGCAATAAAGTTGAAATTAGTTCGGGCCATAATTTCAGGTGAACATCCGGAGGCAATGCAAACCGGCTCTTCCGGTTGTCAGTACAATTGGCTGACAATCGTCCTGCTCCTGGGCCTCGTCCTTTGCTACAGTCAACAGTGCAGCTCCGGCGCAGTGGCAGCATCATTAACATGGCCATTACCATTACCATCACAATTACCATTACCGGCGGCAGCAGCAGCGGCAGCGGGAGAAAGTGCATCAAGTGAAAGTGTGGCAGCCGCAGCGGCAGAAGCAGCAGCAGCCGCAACAACAACAACGAGAAAGCGGTGTCCTGCGGTCAAAAGTTGTCGCCAGGCCACCGGCCATGTCCTGGCCAAAAGGTCCTGTCACAGATGATCAACTGAAGGCCACAGCAGCCCCAACTAAATAGAGTAATTTAAGGAGCCACATGAAATGTGTGCGAGTGAGTGTTCGACTAAGTATCCACTGAGTGTGTGAATGATCGTTTGAGTGTCGGCTATTCAGCCCTCTAAAATGTCAGTTTTAAACTTGTACTCAAGAACAACATTGTGGAACAATGGCGCAGTGATGAGTTTTATTTCAACTATTTAATTACGTACTTAAAGGAAAAGCAAACTTCCCTTTCTTATCTTAACAATCGATTTCAATTGGTTTGGTATTTAACAAATAATTAATTGAGCTCTGTTTTAAAAACTTTAAGCCTTAAACACATTTTTTTATTTCTTTAAATTATTTTAAACACTTATTTGATCACAGTTTTGATTTTTTTGATTCTTACAAGCCTTATATAATATTTTTCTTATTCAAAAAGTTGTTCCTTAGTGTTTCTTAAATATTGTTATTGAAACTATTCCTTCTAAAAATTTAAAATTATTATTATAATTACCTTTACAATATTATTAATTTATTTTCTTTATGGTTCTTTTTAATTCTTATTTATCTACCAGTACCCAATTTCTTGTTAAAATTTATAATTATTATTATTCTTTTTATTTTTTCTGTTATAATAATATTTGTATCCTGATTGATTCCAAAAAACAACCAGGTTATTGACAATCTATAAATTATTTATTTAATTTGAATAAATTTCGTGAATTTATTTGGCAGCATAAAAAAGCAAAAACTCTTAATTAAATATTGTTAATTAAAATATTAATATCCACAGCAATTTTCCCCAACTTTTTTCTCCTGCCCAAGCCGTTGTAAAGCAATGTAATTATATAAATAAATATGTATGTAAGCTTATTGATTACAATTTAATGTGTATATTTAAACAAAATCAAAATTTACTATAGGATGTGTGTAAATAACGAACTTAAATATAATTACGAGGCAAACAAAAAAATATGTATCGCAAACATAATATAGGAATGAGTAATCTCTGTGGCCAGCGGCGCTGACTCTTTTAATAAATTAATGAATAATCAAATAAAGTGCAGTGTACAGTGCAAGTGCCGGGCTCAATATTAAATAATTAGATAAAAACGTAGACAAGCCAAATAGCAACAAAATGAGTGCAGCAGTGAGTCATAAAACATTTAAATTGATTGCCATATCATGCAAATATTTGCACTGCGCAATTCTCCACCAAACCAAATGTAAATTCGATTTTCTGCTTTATTCACCCACGCAAAATACAATTTATTTAATTTTTTACTGCATTGATATTAATGTCACAGTTTCATAATTGACGGTAAGCCAGCCTGCCATGTTTCGAAATGATTAAAAAATTCCACGCCATATTTATCTAATAGTTTCCTTAAAAATGGATGAAATATTTGCAACTCTCCGCACATTTTGGCAATTTTTAAATGTCACTTCCAGTCGGTAGAATTACCTAAGCTGAATAATAGTTTCCCATTAGTTTTGCAATCTTAATTAAAAACCGTGTTGTCGTGTTAAATGACCACCAACTGGGAAACGCCTATTGAGTAATTTTCTATAGCTGTATTTTCAAACTTTAATTACAATAAATGGCAAGCGAGTACAGTGCATATAAAAATAATTACAACCAACAAAAAATCATAACTATTTCACCCAATAAATTGATTTAATTAAGCATTAATATGTGAAAAATTCAAACATCAGATTCGATTTCTGGCCCGATGAAAGAAATAAAGTAAAATGACCTCTGTTTACGCACCGCAAATATTATAAATCATAATTGTTATAATTATATAACAACAATTTGTACAGGCCCGCAGAATAACTAACATTTGCCATTCAAATCAAGCAATAACCAATTCAAACCCATTGTGAATGCTAGCCCAATTAAAATGTGATGTGATTTTGCCCCATCTTGTGTTTGGAAACAATTATAATGGGACATAATTTCGAATTATGCGCTGCCATTTTGTTTGCCGTGGCCACAGCAAAGCCAAACTAATTTTATTAATTTCCGTTAAGCTTTAAAAATAATGTTATCCATAAGCCGCCTTTATTTTGTCATAAGAGATAATGTTATTTTGCAGTTTCATAATGCGGCTTTCAAAGCAAACGTTGAATTTATCTCCAATTATGGCTACCTTATTAAATCATTTTCTAACCATACCGAAAATCATGGAGGTTATTAATTTAGACCTGGCCTTAAACATTTACATTTTAAATGCCCGGTAGAAATTGCAATTTTCCCGTTCTTGTTTAACTGACGACAAGTAATCATCCAATTGTTAATGCAACCAATCAAAACTATAAGCAGTCGGCCCACAAAACACATATGAATATATATATATATACTTGCGTTTAAGTGTGAATACGAACATATGCCAGCCAATTTGAAATTCTAACTCAACGGAATGCTAATGCCATAAGCCCACAAGCATTCGCCATAAACCTTTAAAGCGCATCACATAAATCTACATATGCATATATATACTCGTAGGCCATCAGCTAAGTACTTCCTGTATATTAAAGTTAATTAGTGAAGCTCTAGAATTATGCATTAGTCAAGTAAATCTACATGCTATGTGTATACACTAACGACATAGTTAAATAGTTGTAATAAAGCAATCGAACTGTGTAAAACGAACTACTTTTAACTGTTGAAATTAAACTAAATGGCAAACTAGTGAAAGCATAATACAAATATGACATCATAACGAAACATAGCAAACCATAACAAATAACAATAATAAACAAATAGCAACGATAACAAAAGAGTGTGTTGTTGTTTGTCTTTTGTGCAATGATTGTCGCCACAATGATGTAAAACAACAGGCAAAAAAAAACAAAAAAAAAAAACCAGAAAGACAGCGATACGATTAAAATTTTTTATTTAAAAATTAACCCCTACATGGCATTTTCATTCGGGGGGCTTAGCCGTGTTAAAGGCACTGCCACTCGATTATTTATGCAAACTACAGGGGAACCCAAACAGCTGGCTGCAACCTCCAGTCCTTCAGCGGGATTCGAAGAAATGAAAAATAAGCTGCAACGTATGCGTGTGTCACATGTAATCGCTGGATTATAGACAGCATTGGCCAGGATGGCAGGATGGTAGGTCGGCAGGATGGCAGGCGTTGAAAACTGGGTCAGCAAATAAATCGAAAAGGCTTAAAACAAGGAAAAGGAGAGGCCATAGAACAGCCATGGACAGTCGAAGTACGAGGCTTATGCACACCGAGCAGTTTGCTCCCGGGCAGCAGGAGTGGGATGATTCCGAAAAGGACATGGCCCAGGACATGGGTGTCCTGTAAGTATGTGGGCATGCTGGTATGTGGCTGTCACTATGTAAGTATGTGCCGATGTGAGCATCTCAAAACAATTTACATTTGTTGTCCTGCTGATGTGTTGCAATAACACAGGACATTCTTCCCTTTCTAATTACTTTCAGCTCAATTCACGTTAGAGAAAATAAATAGAGCTCACGCCCGAGCTATTCCAAAAGTATTTGTACAAGTATGTGGTTGCTTATGCAGCAGAGCCTTGGTATTCATTTGTTCATCAAGGAATTTCGGATTTACTAGCTTTCCCTAGGGGTCTTAGGTCTGCTGTTTCGTTCTGTAAAAAATAAATCATTTTTTCTTTACTAGCTGCTTTGTTAGATATTGAATTTGATTTAACCCTTCTGTCCTAAGGTTCTTGAACATATCAATGTTTTTAAATTCTTTACTATTCCATAAAAGAAAATATTTTAAACATCTCCTTATATTTTAAATTATTTATTGCCTTTATAAAATATTAAATCCTTTAGATATAGCTCTTTACAAAGGCTCCTAAGTTGCACAATTACATTTAGCACTATATATACGCCCTTCTTAACATTCAAGTGGAACTGCCTATAACACACCTTTAAAATCTAAATTTGATGATGACTAACTTTTTTGTTTTGTAAATTTAATCACATTAAGCTACAAATCATTTCCATTAAGCCTCTCCTCTGGGCTTAAAATCGCTTTAATTAAAAATAAACTAATTGAGAATTGTCTAATTTTGGCACTCCGTTGAGCCCGGAAATTCTGACAGACAGCAAATCCTGCAAAACCGCAATCGAATGCGAAATGTAGGTGTATATCCAGCGAGCTCATTAATTAACTATTTCTCGATGGGCAGCTGTGAAACGCAGGAATGCAGCTGTAATTCTATTAAATTGTGCCACAAATCGCAGCTTATCCGTACGCCTGTCTGCTTTCGAATTCAAAATAATAACAATAATGCAAGGCTGCGGATGAACTTTGACCGCAGCAACCCAAACACCAGTGGTCCGATATTCCGACCAAATGCAATGGGTCCCCAAAAATGATGGCGTCTGATTTTAAGGCCATTTTGCGACTGCGTTGGCATAAAAATAAAAATATTTCTACGCTCCCTTGAGTCCAAATTGATGCGCGCTGCTTATGCAAATTTCTGGTTGCCTAAGCAACCGCAGTGCCAAGCTGTTGTTGGCTGGATTTTGGATAGAATAGGCCCGAAATCAGGGGCCTACAACCCCGGACATGGGCATGTAATTTGGCCTGATAGATTCAGCTTAATGGCAGGCATTAGAAACATTTGTTGCCTGTGTGGCAACGGCCACAGGAACAGGAACAGAAACAGGCGGAATAGCCATGGTTTTTGGCCAGATATTGATTCGAGAGCAGCACGGGGGGTCCTGCGAAATCAGTTTTGAACAGGCTTCAGGGCGCCACAGACCTCAGATTTTCGCTCTCACATTTTCATACTATATATATGCCATATATGACAAAACATTTTGCACACACGCGCTTTTGACCGCATTCCTTGCCAGCACTTGTACGCTAATTTGACTGAAAATTTAGATGCCATCAACATACTACACATGTAATCCCTGCGAATTCCTCAAATGACAGTTGCACATGGAGTGACCATGAAAGGGGACGAAAGTGGGCTAAAAGTGGGGAATATAAGCCAATAAATGAGCGCGTTTCCAGGAAATTCAACGCCCTTGATGGCCGTTATTTTCGGCAAGTACTTCTGAGAATTTGGGAAGAAATATGAAAAGGGGATTTTATAAAAAAGGAAGACTCAGGCTACTTTTCTTTGGTATGCCAATTTTGTTTTACCTATTTTTGGATTAATTTAAAATTCGTATTAAAGGCGTTTTCCCCATTTTCCTTGTCTTCGGAGGAAATTTTAGGGATGGATAATCTGGTTTAGGCGACTTTATTCACCTTGGCTTGCTCGTAATTGTTGGAGGACCAAAAATAATTTTAAAAGCTTTAATTTTTAAATTAAAAATAATACAA